GATCCACCTGCCTCTGCCTCCCGAGTGCTGGGATTAAAGGCAAATATTTATTATAGTAAATTAATAGAATAATGCAGGAGAATCTTGATATAACAGGTAGTAGAAATGACTTCTGATCTATTAACTTAGTCAAACTTAAATAGAGACACCCTGTCTAGTATTTCTGTAACCACAAGGCTTTACAACACCAATTTTAAGGAAAAAGATATTGAGTTAAAAGAATTGATTTTATCATGTTAGATTTTAGTTCTCATGAAATTTGCTGTTTGCTCATTTTGTTTCTTTTACTTTGATATGCTTATGCAATCAAGGAAGACGTAAGAAAAAGTGTGTACCATGAAAAGGCTTTGTAACCAATGACTAAAGTTTATGAGGAAATGATTTTGTGTATAAATAAAGCCTGAGAGATGCGGGTTATCAGAGTAGGTCAAGCCACACTGAGATGTGCTTCCTCTGTCCATCTCGAGTAAAACGAAGCTAACAAATGCTCCATGTCTGATTTCTCCTTTGCCGCTCTTGCTTCCACTCACTTCAGACCCTGCCTTCATCCAGAGCTGGACTCCGGCAAGCAACTGCAATGGAAACTCAGTCTATCAAATGAAAGCAGCCTATAGGAAAACAGATGAACATTGAGAAAAAAAATCTGGGTTAACTCTACCTTGTGAGGTTTTGTGTATACATACTTTCAGACAATGTTAGCAAATTTAGTAGCATACGTAGTATGTTCAAATGCAAAAGTCATCCAGTACAATTTACTGTATACCTACCCTGGATCAAGTCCTTTGTCAGGCCTCCACAGAGCCCATGATTAAGAAAGAAGACATTTTTGTCTTAAAAAAGAAGGCAATGCCATATGCAAGTTGTTCTAACAGGTCATAGTTGTAGGAAAAAGGGAAAGAATGGCCAATTCCTCTATTTTAATGTTTGGCAAGTTTTCATAGAGAAAAATACTCTGGAACTAACAAGCAGACAAAAAGTTCCTGGCTGAGGAAACTGCATTTACAGAGTTCCAAAAGGATAAAAGGACCCAGAATATCTTCATTCCTAAGTCAGGGTTGAGTTACATAGACTTTGAAAGCAGGGTGAGGTTAGGGGAAATGAAACCAAAGAGGCAGGTAGGTCCCAGATCCTGAATGGCTCATCTATTATCCTAAGAGTTTGGGGGTTTGTCCTATAGATGACGGGGAGCTAAAGAAGGAAGATAAACAACAGACGATAAATAAATAAGACTGAAGTGTGTTGTTGTTATTTTAGAAAGACTAGCCTAACTCAATATTTTGGTTTGGTTGTTGTTTTGAGACAAGGTTATTAAGGGATATTTATACACTGTGTGAAAATATATTGCTGTGATTGGTGTAATAAAAAAACTGAACAGCCAATAGCTAGGCAGGAGGTATAGGCAGGACCTCTGGGCACAGAGAAAGAAAGTAGGAGGAGGCATTCGAGGCACAGAGAGACACTAACAAGACATGGAGGGAGTCAGACATACAGAATGAAAGCAAGATTAAAAAAAAAAAGCCACGAGGCAAAATGTAGACTAATATAAATGGGTTAATTTTAAGTTATAAGAGCTAGTGAGACAAGCCTGAGCTAAGGCTGAGTTTTCATAACTAATAAGACGTCTCCATGTTGTTATTTGTGAGCTGACGGCCAGCAACAACATCTTACACCCTAGTTCTGGCTGGCCTGGAAGTCAAACTACTGACCACATTCACAAGAGATCCTCCTGTCTCTGCCTCCACAGTGCATCCCCATGCCAGTCCAGTCTAGTTCAATGCAAAGGACCGATCAGGTAGCTGATGGGAGAAAGCAGTGAGCCCAGGAGGAAAGCCATCCCAACTCTGAATTAGAGAACAAACAAGGACACAAGTCACAACTATTCAGAAGGAAAAGTCAAAAAAGGAGCCGTCAAGGAAGCGCCCAGGTTTTTTGGTTAAGGCAGGTGTTAGTAAAGAATCTATTACAGTCAGAGGGCAAGCATGTGAGGAACATAAGGTCTGAGAGAGGACTTACAGCTCAGACTACGAAGAAGGTTTTCTAGGAGGGCAGCAGCCTACAGCCCTTTGCCATGTTTACATTTGGGAAATAGCATTCAGGCAGCAGCACCACATTTCCTGGGAGGGGCTCCCAGGAGGGTCAGTAATGGAGAGCTGTTGAGACGTGGCTTTTTTTTTTTCTTTCCTGGCTGTGTATTTGTGATGTTCTGATGAAACTGCAGGCTCTCAGCAGGAAAGCCTGTGATTAGCGCAATGTTTAAGCAGGAAACCCAAAGTGGGGAAAAGCAGCCTTGGCAGATGGCCAGGCGTGGTGCGTGGTTGGCACAGTTCCTGGGGTCTCAGAAGTTGTGTGGGTGCTCGCTGGGCCGAAGACTAACTCCAAGTTCTTTCTGTTGTGACTTTGTTCTGAAGGACTTCTGAGAGGAAAGCATAAAAAGATTTTCATACTTGGGGTTTGGAAACCTCTCTTTTATGTGCTGAGTACTTCACAGTTTACAAAATGTTTTTACACTCATGGTAACTTTTTTTTCCACCCAGATGGTAGTATTCTTCCAATCTATGTGTTTTCAAACAACATTTGGGAGTTATAAGTGATTTTTTTCAAAAGTGCATAGCTGAAAAGTGCCAAAACCATTGACCTGCATGAAATGTTTTATGTTGGCAAAACAATAGAGAAGTGAAAGTCCTACTCTGGGTGAGAATGCGGATTGAGCTGGCTTTTCACAGCACATTGTCAGAATCTTTTAAATGTGGTTGGCCTTTCATCTGGCAGTTCTAATTCTGGGACCCGTGCTCACCCTAAATAGCAAAGCTGGCAGTGAATCCAACACTAAAATGTGTCCCAGTGGCCTTAGGGAAGAGTGAAAAGGCAATACAAGGACACATTACCAAGTTGGTCACCACTGTATGCAAAGAGGACCTGATCCTGCTGGAACTCTCTAAGGGACACAAAGAACTCTGAAAGACAGAGGAGGGAATGTATTCATAGGCTCTCACCTACATTAGTTTCTCCAGAGAATGTTAACTCACTTCCTGGCTTACCAAATGGGTTCCCAGGAGTATCTCAAAATGTATTCACGTATCAACGATGCAATTCAAAATAAGGTTAATGGTAACCTGAGACAGATGCTAGTGTTGTCATGGGAACACAGATCTCTGAAAAATTCAATTTTCAGAATCTGGAGCTGTAGCTCTATGGAATTAACAGGAACAGGATCCAGACCCCTTGGAGTTTCGAGGGGAACCTATCAATAATTTATAAGGTATTTTGATTCTCTGCCTTGGGAGATTTTCCCTATTCCATGGCAAAATGCCAGATAATCTCTTGGGCAGCGTGACCAGAGGACAGCAGAGAGAAGGCTCTCTGCCCAGTGTCAAGCCCAACAACAGCAAAAAAAAAAAAAAAAAAAAAAAAAAAAAGTGATTATCAAAAATCCAGTTCTTCTCAACTGTAGTAGCTATAGGATTCACCTAGGAACCTGCTGTAAAGTTAAATTCCTGGGCCACACCTAGAAATTCTCATTTGTGTCTACATAATAATCTACCTAAATAAACCTATGTTTCCCATTTTAAATCCCTCCAGCAATTCCTCTGTAAGTGATCTAGAACCACACTTGAAAAACACTGGCCCTGGACCTAGACTCTGAGCCCCAAGAGGGGAAAACATGTGCCTATACCTGGTTCCCTATTCAATACCAGGCACATCCAGGGACCAGGTAATTGTTTACTGAATTGTCCAAAACCAATCCTCTAAAAAAAGGGTTTCAAATGGGGTCGGCTCAAATCTGTGACCTCTCTATGGGAATAGTCTAGGAAAGGAGATTCAAACTCACTAAAAGCTAAATGATAATCCATGAGGCCAAAGAATTCATTAACATGTAAAAACAACTGCAACTAATTTGGATAATAATATATTTTCTCCTAATAACAAAAACCCAACTATAAAACTAATCTAGTGCCTGGCAAACAAGAAGAGTCCAGGGTCCTTGAGCAATGTAGCTCAGGTAGCCCACGAGAGAAAGAGAGGGAGAGAGAGGAAGGGAGGGAGGGAGGGAGGGAGGGAGAGAGGGAGGGAGAAAATATAATTTAATAAATTTTAGATTTAAACTATTGACATGACTAATTTATGAGATAATATAAAAATACTGTATAACTGAAAAGCACTACATAAAGTTATTACCATCTTGGAAAATATGCTGAAGACATTTCATAGGGGAGTAATGTGTACAAGCTCTGAAGTCAAACACAAGAGAAAACGGGAAGCAAATCGCTGCGCTTCCCTAAACCCAAGTTTTCTGCTTTCTAAGATAGAAATAACGATAGTATCTGCCTTTGACATTTCGTGAGAATTGAGGCAGTGTGTTTTCCATTTCCTCTACTTCCATTCCCAGGGACTCTAATGCCAGACACTTACTACACTAATACAAACATGGTAGGCAACATGGGCCTGTCAAAATGCTTGTCACTTTACCCCTCTAAGCCTTGGTGTACGCACGGAAGAATGCAGAAGACCCTTGCCAACTTGGCTCACTGACGGCCTATCTTCAACTATGGCTACTGAATGTTCCCAGCACGTAGACCTATCGCTAACTCTTCAAACCTAGGAATGAATGGCACAGCCAACGCGTGGGTCTTGACTAAGAAGTTTCAAGAGAGATGATGGGGATGTTTCCTGGGGTCCGAGGCAAGACCGTAAGAAGAACGTGCTGCTGTAACTCTGCTTTCCGGTTGGGATGGAATATTGGCCTGGGAGGTGGGGTAGGCAGGGGCCGATGTGAGAAAACCAAACAGCAGCCTTACTTCCTGGAAGTCACAAAGAAGAGCACTGAGCCTGTCCGGACTTGGGCTAGGGGTCGCAGCACACAAGGATCCCGGAAATGGGTGGGGCCTAGGCCCGAGAAGCGCACGCGCACTGAAGTCGCAAAGCCCCTCGGGGTCGGAGAGCTCACGTCAACGTCTACGTGAAAGACGTAGGCAAACGCGGGGAGAGAAAACGCCGGGCTGAGTCACGTGACGGGCGCTACGGGCGTTGGCTCCTCCCTCCCCAAGATGGCGTCCCTGCTGCAGTCGGAGCGGGTTCTCTATCTCGTCCAAGGAGAAAAGAAGGTTCGGGCCCCGCTCTCGCAGCTCTACTTCTGCCGCTACTGCAGCGAGCTGCGATCGCTGGAATGTGTGTCGCACGAGGTAACTGGGCCTTTCCGCGGGGACTGTGCGCCGGGGCGGGGGTGCTCTTCCCAGTCACTGCGGCTGGCGGGAAGTTCCGCCGGGAGAGGCGGGGGAAATCTTGTATCTAGCTCTCTGATTGGCCAAGTGCCCCATCGTTCATCTGGGCTTGCGTTTTCATTTGCTTGTAAATAGTCACTTGGAAAAGGGGCGGCCCCGGGTGGGGCTGAGCAGATCCTCTTGTTCTGGAGCTGCCTGTAGCTGGACGGATTTTGTCCTGGACCCTGCGGTCCCCTGTGGGACGACTTGGGACTGGAGGGCTGGGAGATAGGTCGGGGGGCTGTCTAGCTCAAGTCTCTGGAAGGCAGAGGAAACTGTTTTCTCATTGTTAGTGGAAGGAGCGGGCAGCCATTCTCGTTCGTGGCCCTCCCATCTAGCAAGTCCTGACTCTCCTTTAATGAGAACCGGAGCCCTGTCCAAACAGCTGACCCGGTTTCCTGAGCCGGGCCACGGACTGAAGCAAGAAGACTGATGGGTTGACTTAAGTAGCAAACACACAGAGTAGTCTGTGGTGAAAGAAGCTCAGATTTCTATTCATGGTCCCAGGTGGCCTTTGGGCTAGACTTGTTCAGTTTAAAAATAAGACCCCTAATAACCAAGTCCCAAACCTTTTGCAGCTTTTGACAGAAGTTGTTTGTCTGCTGTTGGGAATCTTACAGTCTGGTGAAAAAGCTCATAAAAATGATGGCTGTGTTTATTCTGTATTTAACTATGTGACAGAGGCTTTGCATAATCTTTCCGGCTAATGAAGGTGGAGCCTTGGTTTTTAGATGGGGGTGGGGGTTGCTGAGTTAGGGTCTCATGTAGCCCAAGCTAGCCCCGAGCTTACTGTGTAGCCAGTGCTGGCCTTTAACTCCTGGCTTCACCTTCCAAGTGCCACAATTCTAAATGTACTCCACTATGTCCAGCTGTTGAAGGTGCATGTTGTTGCAAGAAGAAAAAAAAAAAAAGCTGTATTGCAGTGACTCAGGCCTCCAATCCTAACACCCGAGAGGCTGAAGCAAGAGGAATACTGTAAGTTCAAAGCAAGCACAGGCTGCATAGTAATTTCTAAGGCAGTCCGGCTATAGTGTGAAACGCTTTCTCCAGGCTCACACCCCACCCCCAGATGTACAGGTTAAGAGGCAAACACAGAATGCTTCCTGTAGGTCACAGAGGTGGGAATGAAGATCCGAATCAGAAACCAAGATCCCTGGAAAACATGTCCTGTAGAGTTAACCATTTTACAATTATACTTATCTTATTGGACATACTTGTCAAAACATTAAAAATGGTTAAATCAAAGAATATAAGAAATCCAGTCCTATTTATGTATACTTACATATTTATGTCATAATGATTTTTCTTGGATTTTGCATTAGTGTTTTGTATGATAGCTAGAATTGTGTAATTATCAAATACAATATACTTATTACATAAAATATTTTTTATGAAATCTATACTTAAAAGAGTGGATCTAATATTTAGACTGTGTTTTAAGTAAAACACGATAAGATTATTGTGTCATTCAATTTATTACTTAAAAAGTCTATGACTGGGGAACTAAAAAGATGGCCCAGCAGGTAAAGGCTCTTGCTGCCAAGCCTGACAGTCTGAAGGAGAGAACCAATTCTTGGGAGCTACCCTTGGCATCCCCCCATGAGATGTGCGGTGGTACCTACCTACCAGGCTAACTACCTCATCTCATGGGCACTAAACAAATGTAAGATAAATAAAGGAAAGTCTCTCATTTGGGAGCTGAGGTGATTGCTCAGTTGGTAAATTGCTTACAAACATGAAGACATGAGTTCAGTCCCCAGGATCCCAGATCACACATACGTAAAGCTAGGCACAGTGACACATAATCCTATTGCAGGCCAGCCAGCCTTATCTATTTGGTAAGCTCTAGGCCAGTGAGAGACCCTTTCTTATATATAAAAAAGGGGGGGTGCACAGGGGACAGTGCTTGTATTTGTTGCACCTGAGAATTACCTCTGATCTGCACACATACATCAAACAAAAAATTTTAATAAACAGATCTCTAATTGGCTGGCTATAACTATGTAAAATTTTACATATACTTAGTATATCACTAATGAGAAAACTTAATGTCTATTTTTTAGAAGATGTAATGTTGAATGTTTTGCCTGCATGTATGTCTGTGTACCATGTACATGCCTCCTACCTGTGGAAGTCAGAAGAAAGCCAAGGGTGAGCCACCATGCAGGCGCTGAAAATCTAACCCCACTCCTCTGCAAGAGCAGCATATGCCCTTAATCACAAGCCGTCTCTTCCACACCAACTCAGTGTCTCTTAACAGAGGCACTGCTGAGTTATTGTAGTGAAATCAAGCCAAACTAGATGGGAGGCTGTTGGTCACAGCTTTACATTTGCATTATTAATCGATTCGTTAGACAATAGAGTTACTCATTTGGAAGCTTTGACAGATTAGACAAACAGTCTTGACACAGCCTAACACATAAACCTTGATGATAGGAAACATAAAATAGGAGAAAGGAAAAGGATTCAAAGAGGAAAAAAATTTAAAAACCAACATCAACAGACACGTAATTGCTTAGTTGGAAACAGTCCAAATGTTTTTGTCTTTTTCCCCAGATCAGTAATTTCTTGCCTTCTGATGAGGTGCCCCATATTTTAATAATGAATTTCTTTTTTCTCTTTTTTTTCCCTCATAGGTGGACTCACACTATTGTCCCAGCTGCTTAGAAAACATGCCATCAGCTGAAGCCAAATTAAAAAAGAATAGGTAAGAACAGGACAAATTTTCTGATTCCTATTTGTTGTTGATTTTGTGGGCACTAAGGCCAAAACAGGGTCTTATTTCATAGACCAGACATCAGGTTTTTATTCCTCCAGCCTAAGTGCTGGGATTACACAGTTGTTTTAAATAAACAGATAGGAAAACACACAGAGTTACATTTTTTCCTATTTGAGCATCATCGCCTAAGGTGGGTGGGTAGGGGTGTGTGTGTGTGTGTGTGTGTGTGTGTGTGTGTGTGTGTGTGTGTGTGTGTGTGAGAGAGAGAGAGAGAGAGAGAGAGAGAGAGAGAGAGAGAGAGAGAGAGAGAGAGAGAGAGAGAGAGAGAGAGAGAATGAGAATGAGTCTGTTTTGGGTTTTTTTGTTGTTGTTTTTCAAGACAGTATTTCTCTGTCCTAGAACTCACTCTGTAGACCTGGCCTGAAACTCAGAGATCCACCTGCTTCTGCCTTCCTAGTGCTGGGATTAAAGACATGGGACACCACTGCCTGGCTTTAATTTTATTTTTTTAGTAAAGTATCTTTATTAGAAAACTTCTAAGAATTATTTTGAAAATAGTGCATAAGAAACAGGATTGGTTTAGTTATGTCTCCATGGGCTTCTTGTGGTTGGGGATGTTTCTTAGGCTTTCTGTGGTGGTGCAGTATCATAGGTTCTGCCCTTTGGCATCTGATGTTCTTCTCACTAGACAGGAGAATGGGTAAGAGGAGGGGGTTAGACACCCCTCTCAAAGTTACTACAGAAATGGTTTGAGACCTCTGTTCTCTGCCTCTTCTCTCTGTTGTTACTCATGAACATCTGTTTTGTACATTGGGCTGTGGGGCTGCTTTGTTTTGTTGGTTTTCCCCCTTGCGTGTTCCGTCTTTTACTTTTCTCCTGAACCCATTGGAAAAGAGAGTGTTGTCTTGTTCCACTTATTTAAGCAATTTCCTACACCACTATAGTACTATAAGGTATTTTAAGCTTGCCTTGTGTATCTTCTGCCTCTAACTTAGAATTTATCTCTTGAAGAATCTTGGTTCTTTTTACTGGAGGACATTAAGAACCAAGACCTGGCTGCTAGATGTGTTCTTAACTAGTGCTGGGTTTTTAGGTTGGGGTGAAAATTCTTGTTACCAGCTGTATTCCCGTTCATTTGTGGTTGTGAGCCACTTCTGTTTGTCTTTCCTGCTCCAGGACGTAGCTCCTGAGAATTGGGTGTTGCATTGTGTGCTTTCTATACATTGATTTATCACTGAATTTTTCATGAATCTGTAAGGTAGGTGTGGTATTTCCCTTACTTGAAGACTAACAGTCTGTAACAGATAATTGATGGTGCAAAGCCACAGGTGAAGTCTTGATTGTCTCAGGCTGTAGGAGCACTGGCGGCACCGGGTGTGTTGCTCACAACTGTAACCCTACCACTTAGAGCCGAGGGCAGAAGGATCACAAATCCAAGGCCAATCTGAGCTACATAGACTTTGTTTCAAACAAACAGCAAAGGCACCAGGGTCCAGGGCTCCCAAAGGGAAATGTTATCTGTTGTATCTCCAGAGTGAACAGAAAGCCCTGCCAGCACCCCCTCCGTGCTGTCTGCCCTGCCAGCACCCCCTCCGTGCTGTCTGCCCTGCCAGCACCCCCTCCGTGCTGTCTGCCCTGCCAGCACCCCTTCCATGGTGTCTGCCCTGCCAGCGCCCCTTCCGTGGTGTCTGCCCTGCCAGCGCCCCTTCCGTGGTGTCTGTCCTGCCAGCACCCCCTCCGTGCTGTCTGCCCTGCCAGCACCCCCTCCGTGCTGTCTGCCCTGCCAGCACCCCCTTCGTGCTGTCTGCCCTGCCAGCGCCCCTTCCATGGTGTCTGCCCTGCCAGCGCCCCTTCCATGGTGTCTGTCCTGCCAGCGCCCCTTCCATGGTGTCTGTCCTGCCAGCGCCCCTTCCATGGTGTCTGCCCTGCCAGCACCCCCTCCGTGCTGTCTGCCCTGCCAGCGCCCCTTCCATGGTGTCTGTCCTGCCAGCGCCCCTTCCATGGTGTCTGTCCTGCCAGCGCCCCTTCCGTGGTGTCTGCCCTGCCAGCGCCCCTTCCGTGGTGTCTGTCCTGCCAGCACCCCCTCCGTGCTGTCTGCCCTGCCAGCACCCCCTCCGTGCTGTCTGTCCTGCCAGCACCCCCTCCGTGCTGTCTGCCCTGCCAGCACCCCCTCTGTGGTGTCTGTCCTGCCAGCACCCCTTCCATGGTGTCTGCCCTGCCAGCACCTTTCCATGGTGTCTGTCCTGCCAGCGCCCCTTCCATGGTGTCTGTCCTGCCAGCGCCCCTTCCATGGTGTCTGTCCTGCCAGCGCCCCTTCCATGGTGTCTGTCCTGCCAGCACCTTTCCATGGTGTCTGCCCTGCAAGTGCCGCACTCTGAACCACACCCCTCCAGTTCTCTGGCACAGCAGTCAAACAGTAATTTTCCAAATCCAGTTTCACAGTTGCTTATGTTGTTGACTCTGATCTGTCACACAGTACGCTATCCTCTCTAACAACATAAACTGTGACATTTGCCTATTCCTTAAAAATCTGTGTCCTGTATAGGCATAAAAAGCATGTAGAATAGTAAACTTCACCTAGAAACGGTGGCTTGTTTTTTTTTTTTTTTTTTTTTCTCTGTAGAGGAAATGGAATTAGGGTCTAATTTGTTAAAAGCTTTGGTGATAATTTTGTAAAAATACCCAGAAAAAAAATTCTTTCCTCTTGAGAATCTTTGAGTTCCTAACATTTGGACCATAGTTCCTAAAGTGTGCATTGTGACCATGTGTAGGCCCATATAACTAGATGTGAGGACTAAAAAAGTTGACACAGGTAAAGGGTTTCTGAAACAACATCTGATTCAGAGTCAACATGTAATAAATGAGGGGTTTGTGGCGGGCCGTGCCCATATTACATTGCACTACCTCATTGTAGCCTTGGCTACCCCAGTGAGTGCTGCCTAAAACACCCCAGCTCCCAGTTGAGACTATTGTAGCTAAGGAATTGCAGGGTTTTTTTTCACCACATGCAAAGTTCTTTGCTATAATACATAGCTTGATCATAGAAAGCAAAGACATTTTTCTACCATCATTCCTCAGCATGTATCAAATTATAGTTCTTTGGTGTCTGTTGTATAAAAATGTTTGATATTAAAAGCGGATTTGAGTTGCTGACTTGAGCAGTATTATTATTATTTCAATTATAAATAGGGTTGGGGAAGAGTAAACAAAAACCAAGTATAAGGAAACCTGCTGCTTTGCAGATTCAAATTTGAGAGATTCACATACATACCAAAAAATTCATTAAATGCGTTTTAACTTAGGATTAGGACAGAATTTCCAACAATTTCTGAAATGACCCTAAATACAATTGTGGCATTTTATACTATTTATACAAAGTATTGGCAATTACACAATCAAAATATCAACTCTGAAAAGCATTGATGATTCTCTGTCCTGCATGATCAACTATTTAGCAAAGATTTAATTCATTATATAAAATAAGTAAGCATACTTAACTTGCTTTTATCTTTAATAAATACTAAAATTATATGTATTACAATTGTTTTTGAATTTTTCTTGATTTATTAGCAGTAAATGTTTTGTGTACCTGTTTTACAACAGTATGTACTAGAGATTATGTGAAAAACTTCTCCGGTGAAAGAGCTCAAAAGCAGAAAAAGTTTAAAAGATCTTGAACTAAGCCAATGTCTAGTATATAGTAGGTACTTAATAAATATTAGTTGAATGAATGGTTATGTTTGTCATATCACAGATGTGCCAACTGCTTTGACTGTCCTGGGTGCATGCATACTCTTTCCACACGGGCAACGAGCATCTCCACACAGCTTCCAGATGACCCAGCCAAAACCACCATGAAGAAAGCCTACTACTTGGCCTGTGGATTTTGTCGATGGACATCTAGAGATGTGGGCATGGCCGACAAATCTGTAGGTGAGTCAGTGAGATGTACTTGAACATGGGATTTTTTTTTCTGCTGTCAGTGCTGTAATTCCCCATAGGCCATCAGCTTTGTATCTGTTGGACTGTAGAGCCTAAGTTTAGAATGGTTGTCAGTAAGGCTTCTATGTTCCATATCCTCATATTTGTGGATCATAGTTTTTCATCTCAGACTAATACTATTCACTTTTCTTAGAGTTGGTAAAGTAACTTGTGTGAATCTAAATACTATACTCAAACTTCATACCATTTATTAAAAAAAAAAACAACTATTTCTTGGGCTAGGGATGTAGTTTATGAAGCCCTAGGTTCAATTCCCAGCACTGCATAAGCTTGCACATGTAATCCCAGCATTTCAGAGGTAGAGGCAGAAGGAAACAAGCAAACATCATGGACAAAAACCAAAAGAGCAGTAATAACAGACTGCCCAAAATTGAAGAACTCTTATGGATCAATTTTCAGAGAGTCAGAAGGAACACAGTAAAGGATTTGAATAGTTCTCATAACTAAACATAAAAGTGATCATCTTAAAAGGTATTCATCTAGCTACAAATTAGGAAAATGCTGATTCTCAAATATTTCTTAAATCAGATTATATCATGTTAGTCCGACACTGGATAATTCTCATATATTACCATCTTGGAGAACAGTTTGATGGCTCCTGTCTACTTATTTTTATTCTTTGTTTGTGTGTGCATGCCTGTTTGGAGGTCTAGGGACAAATCTGGGAAGTTGATGCTTTCCACAGTGTGGATCCTCGGGTTAGTGACAAGTGCCTTTTGTTACTGAGCCATCCTGCCAGCCTTATTCATTTACTTTTGGAGACATGTCTCCCTCTGTCAGCAAAGGATCAGGTCCCCTGGAACTGGAGTTACAGATGGTTGTGAACTGCCATGTGGGTGCTGGGAATGAGACCTGGGTCTTCTGGAAGAGCAGCCAATGCTCCTAACTGCTGAGCCATCGCTCCAGCCTGTTTATTTATATGCTTTGCATGTGGGCATTTTGCCAACATGTGTCACATGCATGCAGTGCCTATGAAGGCCAAAAGAAATTGTTAGATCTTTTAGAACTGGAGTTACAAACAGTTGCAAGCCTCCACATGGGTGCTAGAAACTGAGTCCAGGTCCTCTGCAAGAGCAACAAATGTTCCCAACTGCTGAGCTATCTTTTCATTTGTATTTTATTTTGTTTTTGTGACAGTTTCACTCTGTACCCCAGACTGGTCTTGAAATGGCTTCTAGTTTAGTGTTTTTATGGGATTCTTGTGTGTGAGAACAAGTAGATCTCTGATTTTTGCACCTTTTCTTGAGCTCCTTTTGTTCTGTTTATTTGTCTTGTCCAGTTTTGATCAAAGTGTCTACAAATCTTTTGTCCCTTTTTTAAAAACAGGGTCTCATTCCCAGGCTGGTCTTGAACTCGTATTCATCTTGCCTCCACCTCTTAAGTGCTAGTATTATAGACACATACTACCATATCTGGTTCCTTTTGCCCCTTATTGTTCCTTGGGTATGCACGTGTGTTTATAGTTTGTACTTTGTTTCCTACTGAAGAGACCTTAGCTTAATCCACTTTTGCTAAAATCACTCTGTGTACTTGTAGAAATTAACCCTTAGGTTTCAGCCTATTGTCTATTTTTCAGGTAAGTTCTGTACATTTTTTAATAGTCAAGGGTTTTGGGGATTTTGTTTTGCATGTGTAGATCCACTTGTTCAGAATTGGGATCATGCTACACATGCGAGTGGGGTTTCCAGATACTGCCTTACTTCTAGAGTTGATTCCTGCCTCCATCACTCTAGCTGTGTGACTTCAGAGCTGTTTACAGTTCTGAGCTTTGGATTTCTTATCTGTAAAATGGAACCAATCAGTGAACCTTCCCTCAGAATGTATTATGAGAAGAGAAAAAAAAAATATGCTCCTTTTCAGGTGTCTGGTGTAGACACTGTGCATATGTTGTTGGTGCCGAGGATGGTCATTATCACCCTTGTTAATTTAAAGAGACAATGTTATGTTGAGCTTGCTAGCCTAGGCCTTGATCCTACCTACTTGGGAAGCCGAGGCAGGAGGATTACAAATTCTAAGTTTGCCTGGGATACAGAACAAAGCCTGCTTTGGCAACTTAACAAGATTGTGTCTCAAACATTTTAGAAACAAGATCAGTCAAATGGCTCAGTGCATAGAAACTCTTGCAATACAGACTTGACTACCTGAGCTGTTTAAAGGGCTTGGAATGTAGCTCAGTGATAGAATATGGGCAGAGCCCTAGGTTCAGTCCCCACTACTGGAAAGAAAGAAGGAAGGGGGAAAGGAGAGACGGACGGGTGTGTGTGTGTGTGTGTGTGTGTGTGTTGCTCTTCTGAGCACGCTGGTCCATGAGTGTTCTTTCTTGGAAATTCTCTGCTTCTGTGTGACATTTTATGAAAATAAAAAGGTGAGATTACTGTTTAATGTTTTGTTTTCTAGCGAGTGGCGGTTGGCAAGAACCAGAAAATCCTCACACACAGCGGGTAAGTACAGGAACTTTAGGCCACAGAGGATGAATATGGAAAGGCAGTGGTTGTGGCCCATGCTGAGAGGGCCTGCCTGTATTTGCGCTGTGGGGTCAGTTACTCACAGAGAGGCATTAATCAGTGCTGCTGCTTCTCTCAACTAAAGTCATGGAAAAGGAAAACACTTGTAGTTTTGGTTCAGTGTTCCAGTTATGTTTCAAAAGAAGAATGAAGTAGCTTTTGTTATTTTCTTCCTATGCCTGGCAATGACTACAAGTTTTGCTGAGCATGTGAACCTTTCAGCCCTAGATACACTACTGATTTTAAAGGTACCTTTGGACCAGTACTTACTGCCTACAGAAGCATCATGGCATTTGTGCAGTGTGTGCTGCAGTTGGCCTTTTAAACCCCTGCAGTAGAGCAGTGTGGAACTGATGAGCTGCTATCAACATGCACACTATACTGTCAAAGTGAAAACTCAACAGGAAGTTACAGTTTTCCATCTATACCATCAGCGAAAATTAAAAGTACTGCAAGTATCCGGGGTGAGAGTGTAGGAAGATGGTTTTCTCACATGCACCAGTTGATACAGACTTCTTGAATTATTTGTTGTGTGTATTTCATAGATGCTCACCTACAGAAATGCACGCATAAATGAACAAGTACTTATAGTTAGGCGTGTGTGTTTGTGTGTTTAATCTTCAGCTTATCTACTGAGAAAGGGGAAAAATTCTCCAAGCAAAGTAGAAAGTATAGTAAGTAATGTGAGGGAAAAATTGTGCCTTGTCAACATTTCTTGAAATTTTCAACTAATTAGGTCAACGTGGGCATTCTACTGCTGTCTGGAGATGTTAGACACAAGGGAAAGAATTCAGGTAGGGGAACATCCTGTAGGTGGAAGAAACAAAGCATATTATAGCTAAGAGAGTGACTGAAGTGGAGTGTGATATTGACAAATGGAAAAGGAAGTGACACGATTGCATTAGTGTTTTGTTTTTTTAAGATTTATTTATTATGCATAGTGTTCTGCCTGCATATATGCCTGCATGCCAGAAGAGGGTGCCACATCTCATTACAGATGGTTGTGAGCCACCATGTGGTTGCTGGGAATTGAACTCAGAACATCTTGAAGAGCAGCCAGTGCTCTTAAACCTCTGAGCCATCTCTCCAGCCCCAAATTAGTGTTTTTTTGTTTTGTTTTTTAATTGCGTGGGCTGGAGAAATGGTTTAGTGGTTGAGAGTATTGGATGATCTTCTAAAGGACTTGGGTTCAATTCCCAGTACCTACATGGCAACTAATAGCGCTCTGTAACTCCATTTTCAGGGTGTCTTAGTTTGGTGTCTCTTCCTCTGATAAAGACCATAACCAAAAGCAACTTGGGGAGGAAAAGGTTTATTTCAACTTACAACTCTCAGGTTATACTCTATCACTGAAGGAAGTCAAGGCAGGAACTAAAAGAGAGGCCATGGAAGAACACTGCTTACTGACTTGCCCTGTGGCTTGCTTGTTTTGCTTTCTTATGCACCCTGGAACCACCTGCTCAAGGGTGGTTCTACCCACAGTACCAGAAGGCTGCTTGTGGTAGGCAGTGAAGTATAGAACACATCATCTCAACTCCTCTGTAGCCCTTGCATCCTGTGCTTGGATGTGAAGATTTCATTTCAATTCTGAAAACACTGTAATGAGGAAAAATTCTCTTTACAGAAAAAGGAGAGAAAAAAACTTAAGCACTTCATAACTTTCCCTGTTCTTTTACTCATTTCTAGTCAATGCAGTTGATTGATTTTGTTAGTCTTTTCATGAGACAAAGAGAGTCTTTGATTTTTTTTACAGATGAATAAGTTGATTGAATATTACCAGCAGCTTGCTCAGAAGGAAAAGGTTGAACGAGATCGCAAGAAACTGGCACGGCGTAGAAACTATATGCCTTTGGCTTTTTCGGTGAGAATTTGACACAGAAAGACATTTTGCAAGGCCTGTAAGGCATCAGAATAGTGGCCATTTCGGGAACTGCTGGTTTCCTAGATTTCTGTAGTTGGACTCAAAAACGGTTCCTCAAATGCAGAAGTGTAAGCCCACAGCTGCACGCTTGTGTCATTCATCTTATTTAAATTTGTTGTTTTTTAGTAGGGGCATCTGCCTTCCTCCATCACTCCATTTCATTATTATTCCTACCAAAAGTTACTGCTTACATTTTTAGGCTATACAAAACTGTTTACTGCCTTCGTATATTACAGAAGATTGAAAAGAAGTAGGGGCGGTAGATTTTATTCTGCCTATCATTGTAACATACCTATAGCACCCTTGTTTCCCAGTTCTAATCTTCTGTCTGTTTTTATTTTGACACCTTCCCATCCTCACTATTTTTCAAGATAGAAATCACTGACACATGCACAGTATTTGTGGTGGTAGTGGTGGTGCTGTTGCTGGGATTGAACTTAGGACCTCACCTCTGTAGGCAAGCACTACTTCACTGACTACATCCTGAGCCTCGCACAGTACGTCTGCGTGGTTAAACAGCAGAGATACGCACAAGTGGAGTTGTTCTTAGAAATGATTTATGGATGTCATTTTCTGCTAGTTAATAACTACTAGACAGAAGCAAGGGTTGGGATTTTGAGTTTTCCTTGTCCCCAAGTTTCATTTGTTCTCACAGAACAGTTGGCTTTCTTTGTACTTGCTTGAGCCCTAACATGCTGACATTGAATAAATAACATTTATTGAGTGGCGTGACATGTTGAGCACTGTGTTAAGTATATAATGTATACTATCTTATTTAATCCCCACAGCAGCGCTCTGAGGTTGATAGCATTCCCCCATTGTACACTTGAGGAAATGAGATCTGGAAGGTTAGATAACTTGTCATCCTGCATCTCCTGGACAATTAGTCAAGCCACTGAAAACATAAGGATTGCTAAGGTACATACAGAAATATATAGATTCTAGTTTAGTTAAACATTAACTAAAGCACCTACACGTACCAAAGAAGTAAGTGAATGTTCCCAAATAGTCCAGTGACCTGATCAGCATATCTACACCTACATATTAGGACAGGACTTGGAACTAACTGCTTGATCCTTCCAACCTTCCCATATACCTGCTGGCTGTATGCATTTGTTTTATCTTATGCTTCATTTTTTTTTTTTTTTTTTGTCTCTGTTATAACCTGCTGCTATTGGGGGCTCTACAGCAACACACTATTCATGTAGTGGTAAGTTCTCTTTTCTGATTCTTGCTAACCCTGAAGAAGTTAGCAGATGGTCCTTATGTGCCTTCGATACTTCCCATAGTTCTTGCTTGAACCATAGCTTAGAGGTTCTTAGGCTAATAATAAAAGCTTATGTGTGGTCCACTTTTACTGTTTTACTGTAGTTTTAGTCTCGGTGTTGCTTATTTTAGGAATAGAATAATAATGTGGGTTGCAAATACAGTAGATTTTTAGTAGCTTTTTGGTTTTACTAGTTTTGTTTTTTTTTTTTACTTTTTGCTTATTCCCCTAAGCTTCTCATGCTATCCGACCCTATTTCTTGCTTTCAGTAAATCGGATGTATAAACTGGCCTTTCTAATAGGAATTTCTGGACTTTGTTTAGGACAAGTACAGTCTTGGAACCAGGCTTCAGCGACCAAGAGCTGGTGCATCCATTAGTACGCTCGCTGGACTTTCGTAAGTGTGGACATTAAATGACTGAGAACAGAAATAACAAAATGCATGCTTAAAGGGCATCTTTTTTAAGCTACCAATAGGAAAAAGATTCTGAGACTTAGAAAAGACCCAAACTTATAAAATACTGTGTTAGAGGAGCACTTCAGTCATTGATAAGGACTTTGAGGATAACCCAGTGGACCCTTGGGAAGTTACTGCCTCTCACTTTTTAGCCTCAGAGAAGGAGAAGACCAGAAAGAGGTGAAGATTGAGCCAGCTCAGGCCGTCGCTGAAGTGGAACCTCTGCCTGAAGACTATTACACACGACCAGTGAACCTAACGGAGGGTAATTTCCTGTCTGTCCTCCAGCTGTGTGTGCTTTGGCTCACATGCCTCGGGCTGGAGGTTCTTAATGGCATCGTTAGAAAACGATGTTTTAAAAATAAAGTATATATACTCACTTAAAGAACTTTAAAATGTCTGTCAATATTGTTCATTTTTGCATGTTGCTTCAGGTAGCATATTTCTTTGCCCACGTACAAGCCTGATTTTTGGAAATGGCTGTGAACTAAGCCTGAGTTCTGCCTTTCTTGCTAGTGACCACCCTTCAGCAGCGCCTCCTGCAGCCTGATTTGCAGCCAGTCTCTGCTTCCCAGCTCTACCCCCGACACAAGCACCTTCTGATCAAACGGTCCCTGCGCTGTCGGGTAAGCACTCTTTCCTGTACGCTTGCCGTTTGTACCAGAGAAACGCAGATCGAGTGGACGTGATTGGTATCTGGCCAATGTAGTAAATACAGAAAGCTCAGAGAACACACCAGATGTTTGGACATTATTTTAAAAGGTTTCAATGTTAATTCTATCCTAACAACTCGGGAGGTAGCTACTGTTGTTGTTCCTGCTCTACAGATACGGAGAGTGGGGTATCTGAAGGTTGAATGTGTAATATACACCCATAAAAGAGTGGCAGAAGAATGTATTATGTCTTTAGGACTAATACAAGTAGAACACTAATACAAATTAAACAATTTAAGAAAAAATAAGAGGGGCTAGAGAGATGGCTCAGCAGTTAAGAGCACTGACTGCCCTTCCAGAGGTCCTGAGTTCAAGTCCCAGCAACCAAATGGTCACAGCCACCTTGAATGAGACCTGGTGACCTCTGCTGACATGTAGACAGAAGATTGTATACATAATAAGTAAATAAAATCTTTAAAAAAATAAGAAGAACCACAATTTAATCTCTAGGAATATAGGAAATAAACAATAGTTTTGTGAGTAAATTGTAAAAACAAACAAAATGGAAGAAGGAAGTCTTTTAGACTCCATCCTGTGATGCTCTGGGCTCTATGACGATGAACTCTACCATGCCTGAATGATGCATTGTGGTACCCATTTGTCACACGTGGCTGCTGAGTGCTTGAAATGTGAAGTTAGCTGAAGATACTGACTCCTAATTCATTTAATAACCACATATGGCTAATGTTATCAAATACTTCATCTCAAGATTGAAGCAATTCGAAGGCATACCAGCCAGCACAGTTTGTACACGTCTGCAGATCCTGATCCAGACAAAATATACATATAAAACTTAGATTAAAAAAAGAGGGAAGAAGGGAAGGATGAGGAGGGGAGGAAACAAAAATCTGTAAAATCTGAGAAACTTAAATATTAGCAGGATTTTTTTTTATATTCTTAAAGTATTTGTCTTTTTAGGGATAATATTTTTTTAATATTCTCATCTTTTTGGAGATGCATGCCAAACATTTATGGTTGAATGACATAATGTCTAATATTTATCACAAAAATAACTAAGACTGTAGAATGAGCTTACTATCTGTTCAGGTGGTTCAGTGTATGAAGGCACATGCCATCAAGCATTATGACCTTTGATCCCTGAACCCACATGGTAGAAGGAGAGGAGTGCCCACACTCAAACTGATTAATTCATTAAGTAAGTAAAAGACATAGACTACCCAACCAAATAAATTGACCAAACACTACAACTCACTTATATGCTGATTAGAACAACACAGATAAAAGAGTTCAGAGAGAATTAAAATGCAGCTAGAACTGGACATGGTGGTACATGCCTGTAGTCCAGCTCCGGGGCACCTGAGACAGAAGGATCTGTGAAGCAGTACCTGTCTCAGAATGCCACGGACTGGGGTAGAGCTCAGGGTTAAGAGTACTTACTTCACACACAGGGTCCTGGGTTTGGTTCTCAGCAGGAAGGAGGAAGGAGCACTGGAAGTTGTACAGACACTAATTTTTTTTTCTACTTCTCATTTTCAAGACATGGTCTCACTTTATATCTCTGGCTGTGCTGAGCTCTTATAGGCCAGGCTGGCCTTAAATTCACAGAGATCCACCTCCCAGGGATCTGCCTCCCAGGTGCTGGGATTAAAGAAGAGCCATACAGTATGCCTGGCATGACAAACACTAATCTAAAAAGAAAATTTATTTTGCTTTTTTTCCCTTTCTTTTGGTTCTGGTTTTGAATTTTTGAGATAGAGTTTCTGCTTTTGTTTTTTGTTTTTTGTTTTTTTTTAAGATTTATTTATTATATATACAGTACTTGCCAGCATTCATATCTGCATGCCAGAAGAGGGCGCCAAATCTCACCACAGATGATTGTAAGCCCCCAAGTGGTTGCTGGGAATTGAACTCAGGTCCTCTGGAAGAACAGTCAGTGATCTTAACCTCTGAGCCATCTCTCCAGTCCAAGATAGAGTTTCTGTATAGTCCTGACTGTCCTGGAACTCACCATGCAGATCAGGCAGGCCTCAAAGTCAAAGAGATCTTCCTGTGTCTGCCTGCCTAGTGCTGGGATATAAGGGTATGCACCACTATGCCCAGCATTGTATTTCACTTTTATAAAGGCTCTGCTCACAGATGATATATCAATCAAAAGTTATAGATACCAAATAATAGACTCAAAGTACACAAAGCAATATTTGAGAAAATTATATAAACAGACATATAATTTGGGGATGTTTTGATATATATTTATCTTAGAAACAGACCAAACAAATAAAAATAAGTAAGGAAAGATTTGGAACCTTTAACTGGCAAACGTGACCAAGTATACATGTATATAAAACACTTTACCTAACATCTCTACAGTATACTCAAAGCACTCTAAAAAGTTGACTGTATACTGGACTACAAGGAAAATCTCGGGCTGAAAGACGGCTAAGCAGTTAAGAGTGCTCACTGCTCTTGCAGAGAAGTTCAGTCCCAGAACCCTATTATGGAGCTCAAACCACCTGTATTCCAGCTACAGAGGATTCAGTGCTGCGTTCTGGCCTCCATGGGTTCTTGCACTTACCTGCACATATCCAGACATATACACAAAATTAAAACCTAAAAATAAATGTGAAACTGTATCATTTGATCATAATGTAATTAAGTTATAAATTGATAATTCTTACATAGCAAAACTTACGGGTTATAAGTAAAGCCTTAGATATATAGATGCCTGTGTAGCTATACAGAGTTACAGATTTTGGGGGGGGCTAGGAAACTTGAAAACCTAAAAGGCAAATAGGAGAAGAAAAAAAAAACAATTATTCATATAAGACTTCTGAGTAAGGGATTGTTTCATAAACATCAAACATAAAGTAAAATTGGATCTTTTATCACAGTAACAGTGAAAGTGTTCGGCTTCTATCCCACAAAAAAATCTGTAAACAAAAAGATGTACAGAGACTGAGAAGGGCCGTTCATAAGGCAGATGGGTGGTGAAGGGCCTATATCTAGAGTGTGTGCCTGACTCTGGGACGAAGAGAGCCGACATAAAGCAGGGTACAGGGCACACGCCTATGACTCCACGGTTCTGGGCACAAAAGCAGGGAGTGGCACGTTCCAAGACCTTCTGTCCAAAACCAAACACACCCAAGGTGACCCAATATAAAATTAACTGGTGAATGTGGCAGACAAAACTCCTGTAGTTAGTGAACATGAAAGATACTTGAACTTACACAGTAATCGCAGCAATGTGCATTAAAACTACTTCAAGATGTCATTTGATAATCATCAGAAAGCAGAAATTGGCAGTTAGGGAGTATCTATCAAAGTAGTGAATGGCCTTCCCATTGATCCATTCTAAAAAATTGTCTTACTGACACCTTTTATATTGGAAAGTGACTCATGTTTGCTTTACTTAATAGTCACAAAGTGGTAGAAATATTCTAAACGTCTCAGTTGTCTGGCTAAAGTTATAGAAATCATTACAGCGGAACATTAAAGATGAGGTTCCTGTGTGCTAGGATAGAATTCCAAGATTAATATAAAATGGAAAGGACAAGAGGATGTATTGATTTCCCTTTTGTGTTATTATGAAAAAGAAGGGTAAAATGCCTATACATTAATGTGTCTAGCCTGCCCTGTGCAGATTGGCCCTGTAAGGAGAACAAGGGACCCTCTGTATAATAGAAAATATATACTCTGTGTAATAGAAAAGTCTCTGTACTACTTAAAAATATTTTTAACCAGGTTATATATGTCATTGAACTTAAATCCTTGCATTCATACAGATCTCCAAAGTTATATAAGCTATTTCTTCTTTTTGGGTCCCATTTTAATCATCCTTTAAGTGAGAACATCTGTGTACCTTCATCTGATGAAGTCTGTGGTGCTTGTCTTAAGTTAGAGAGTGTGTGTTGTTCACACAGTGAGTGCTTGGTGTGTGCTAGCTAAGCATTATACGCTATGGTATTTGTAATGATCCGTATGTATTCTACAACTTTTGGTTATCAGTACCATAAATTCTGTTTTAAATTTTATAGACTTTGGGCAGGACAAAACATAAAATTCTAGTAATTACTTTCTTTCTGCATTTAATGGTAATATGGATTTTCAGAGCATATTCTTGTTTTCCTCTGACATGTACTTCTTTTTTTAGAAATGTGAACATAACCTAAGCAAGCCAGAATTTAATCCAACATCTATCAAGTTCAAAATCCAGTTGGTTGCTGTGTAAGTATTTGTGTTGTTGATTGAGGGTTTATGAATTTTTTTCAATATGGATTATCTTTTTTAAAAGTATAAAAAGGAGAAGAAAAATTACATCGGAATAGTCTTTCTATTCCTATTCCGGTTTTGAATTTAGTTGAATAGCATGAAGTCTCAATTACCATCTATAAATGTAGGATCAGGGCCATCTGGCCTGAAACTGGCATGTCCTGGGACCCCAGCTTCTGGGAAAACAGAAGCGGAATGTGTTTGTGTCAGTGACAGAGTGTTGTGATAGGATCTCTGGCAATATGGAATTATAAGATATCTAAGTTAAGACTTTTTTAAAAGTTTAAGTATAGCAAATTGAAGAGTACTCTGAAACAACGTTCATTTTACTCCCTGGTTCTGATAATATGTCTCTGAATGGATACAGGTGATTAGGTTAGAGTTAATTCACTGTGGATTGTCAGTGGTTGTGTATTAAAAGAAAAAAAAAGATTATTAGGCAGGCATGTAGAGGGAGCCGCAAAATGGCTCAGTGGGTAAGGCACTTCTAGAACAGGCTAATAATCTGAGTCCAGTCCCTGGAACCTATGTAAAAGTGGGAAAGAGAACCACTCCCTAAGTTCTCTGATCTCCACACATGCACACACACACACACACACACACACACACACACACACACACACACACAATGATAGTTTGTTTTGTTTTTTAATCATTTAGCGGGACTTGGTGGTGCACACCTTTAATCTCAATACTTGGGAAGCAAAGGCAGGTGGATCTCTGTGAGTTTGAGGAAGCCTAGTCTACATAACAAGTGTCAGGCTAGCCAGAGCTATATAAGTTTGAACACCCTGAACCTCAGCAGAAGGAATCATGAGTGGTAAAGGATAAAATTACCAGTGTCCTGCGATGGGCAATAGAACAGGTAGCAAAGTACAAGCTTTTGTGCCTATTACAAAGCAGCATCATGGTCTATGAATACTGAACAGACATTTGGACCTGGGCAATTTTGAGTCCAGACAAGCAGTGGTAACATAGCAGTCAAGAGCAAGGATACCGTGGAGTTTCTGGATTTGAACCCTGGCACCACACCTGCCCATGCCCAGTGTCTCCTTTTTTGTAATGAGGTAGCAGTAGCCATGCCTGTCACACAGAGTTGAAGTGAACACTGGGGTGAACACTTACGCAATATGTAGGATATTGCCTGGCACATAGGAAGCACTCTGTGTATGGTAGGAATGAGTGTTTGCAGCCATATAGACTGTTACTGAGATTGGATCTTGTAACCAGCTACCTTGTGAGTGGAATAAATGAGAATTCCTCAAAATAAATTTATAAGGAAAGTATGTGATGTGATACATATAACTGTAAGCCCCAACCCAACTCTGTGCACATACATGCTAAAATCCTCAAATTTCAGACAGAACTCACTGCTAGTTTGGTTTCATGTCTCTTAACTGTGGTGCTACAGGTCTCCATTTTCTCTTAATGTATTCTAGTTAATATTATTTGTAGCACTAGTTTATGTGTGTGGTTTTTTTCTTAAGGTAAATAACAATTTCAAGAGACTTCAGTGAACATTAATACATGTTTTTATTTGTCGGTAGCAATTATATTCCAGAAGTGAGAATCATGTCAATCCCCAACCTTCGCTACATGAAGGTTAGTATGACTTATCGACACAGAGACTTGATTAGTCAGTGATCTGTGCATGTCTGTATATGGGTGACTGTATGTGTGGGATGGAATGATATAGGGAAGGTTCAGGAAAAGCGCAGTTTAAAATGATAAAGACATGGAGACTTTGTATCTTTAAACTGGGGTTCTTGCCAATAGCATGTTGGATGTGTAAGAACCAGGTTGCACATTCTGTAAAAGTACTAAAGTGGAAAATAAAGATGGTGACACTGGGTACCATAGGCAGCTTTCTCTTGTTGTCTGTAGGAGCTTCTCTTACTGACTGATATGTGTGTGCACAGCACCGGGAGTTGACTAGGTTCTTCTGTACCATAGCCCCATTCTTCCACAGGGCGCCTCCTGATGAATGATTGCCTGTTCTGCCCAGCCCCTTGGCTCTTAGCCTTCATGCTGTTAAGATTTACAGCATCCCTTATTTTACCATCCTCAAGAGTAGCAAATAGCCATATTATCAGGTTTTGGGAATCTTAAAAAACATTTTATAGTTTTAATGTGTCATTTTCCCCCTGCCCTTCATACTACTTCTGTCTAGCCTATGGCTATGATGTTTTATTTAGGATTTTTTGGTGTTTTGGTTTTTTCCTTTTCATTCCCTAAGCAGCAACTAGAGTAGGAGAACTTCAAACTTTAAAATAATCATTTAAGTAATAACCCTTTCTCAAGAGTTTCTAGCCTTAGTAACTGTAATCTGCCCAGCTTCTTTAGTGAGATGGCCCCTGCAGAAGGTATGTTGTGAACACAGAAATAGAAAGATCAGCAGACATTCTTAGGATGCTCTGGTGTAGAGGAACAAGAGTTGTTAGTGCTCTGGAGAAAGGGGTGATTTTGTGTAACACCTAAGAAAGTGGGCCGTAGTGGAAGTGTGGCCCATGTCTGAAAGACACTTTTCTTGTTCTCCAGGAGAGCCAGGTCCTCCTGACTCTTACAAATCCAGTAGAGAACCTCACCCATGTGACTCTGTTGGAGTGTGAAGAGGGGGACCCTGATAATATCAACAGCACTGCTAAGGTAAGGGCATTTGTCCCCTCATACAGACCCTACCTGCCTGACATCGCCTGCAGTGGCTTCATTGAGCATGGCTTAAAAAAAATCCATACTCTCTCATCTCTGTGTACGATCCAGTGTCCTGCTTTTATCTTGTCCTCGGACACAGCCACTGCCTGTCAGGGCTCCTTGTTCTCACTTGGTCTCAGACCGGAATCTCCTGCCTGACCTCAGTCTTCACTACCTTAGTGCTTCAGCTTCATCTCAGCCCGTCACCTGTGTGCCACCAGGCTGTTTGTCCCGTCAGCTGCTCAACCTGCTGGTCACTTACGGCTCTCGGACTTCACCATAAGTCCGACTTCTTTGACACAGCTCCTTGGTGATGTCTGCTTTGTGTTCTTCAGTGTGTCCTTCCTCCAGATCCTCAAATTGAGCATTTCCAGTTGCTGCTACAGGGGCGGCTGCACTGATGGGTGTAAATGCTCCTGCTGGGGAGCTGCACGCACTACTCACGTTTACCTGAGCTGCTCTATCCCGCTGTGCACAGCCTTCCTGTGCAGTTTAACACTCATTCTTGAGGACTTAGGAGATGTCATCTCCCTTTAGAAGCTCCTGTCTCTCCTACACTACTTAGTGTAGAATACAAATAGCAGTGACTAAACATTAAGATAATTTTGACTGAATAAATGAAATGCAGCTTTTTTATATTTTGTTACTCAGGTTGATGGACTTTTAAAAATTTAACATATATGTATTTATTTGTATATGTGCAGAAAGAAATGACACATGTCCTGACATTTGTTTTAATAATAGTAATAATAAGTAGGTCTAGTTGGGCAAAAAGCAAGATGCAGCCTTGATGAAGGCTTTAATGTGGTGTGCTGCTCCTCCCTTCCCCCCAACACACCCAGCTGTACCTAGGAATATGGCTAGTGGTTTCTGCTGGTCTCTGAGATAACAAGGTATGGACAAGTGATGGTTTCAAATATGCCAGGAATTATCTTAAAACTGATGTAGCAAAGGGCAGGGCATATGCATTCCTCCCCCCTTCAGAAGTAACACATTAAAATAAGAAAAAGGAAAGGGAGGCGGGGAAGAAAGATGCCGTGCAACTTGTGCCCTGAGCTGGTTGAATTCCCTCCAGTAAGCTACACTAGTTAGTTACTTCTTGTTGTTGCAACAAAATAACAAAGTCTTGACAGAGCAATCTAAGGAAGCTTATTTTGCCTGGCTGTGGGAAGACTCAATCATGATGCCTGGCCTAGGTCAGTTGGTCACAGATGAAAGATGGTGCTCAGCTTACTTTCTCCTTTCTAATCCAGTTGAGGACCTCAGTCCACAGAACGTTGCCATGCACAGTTAGGGTAGGGCTTCACCCTACTCAGCCCAATCCAGAGATCCGTCCACAGCCATGCCAGTAGGTTGTCTGTGGGGAAGCATTAGCCATCCACAGCCTCCCTGAAACAAGCACTCACCTGACTTGTCCTCGCCCTTCTTCATCCTCAAGTTCCTCGGCAGTGGGTTAGACTGTGTGCGCAGTGTAAGTTTGTCCAGAAACGTGATGCTCGCGTCTGTCTAGACGGTGCTGCTGCAGTCTGTCTCCTTTGCTCTCAGGTGGTGGTGCCTCCCAAAGAGCTCATTTTAGCTGGCAAGGATGCCGCAGCAGAGTATGACGAACTGGCAGAGCCCCAGGACTTTCAGGATGACCCTGAGTAAGTGACCCTTCTGTGACCCTCAGACGGCAGTCAGCCTGCCCAGGAGCCTGGAGTTGTCCTTTTGTATTACTGTGACCAGATGTGTGACAGGAACAGCTTAGGAAGAAACAGTTATCTAGCTCCAGTTTCAGAGGCATGAAGGTAGAAGAGGCTTCACCTAAGCCTTTGACAGTGGGGGCATGAGGTGAGGCCACAAGCTAGTCACATGGTACAGAGAAAGCTCAAAACAACTGAACTGGAAATGGGCAAGTAACCTTCAAATGTATGCCTTTGTGTGGATTTCTTCCTCCAGCTCCATGGCCTCCAAAATAGCGCCACATGCTAGAAACTGAATATTAAAACATGAGTGTGTGTGAGATACTTAAAGTCAGACCTTAAAAATGCACACATGCATGTCTGTTTCTTTGCCTGGGTTTTTAAAACTAATTTTATCCCTATTTATAAAATAACTACTATAAAGGGCTGGACTGATGGCTCAGCAGTTAAGAATGTCCTCTATTCTTCCATAGGACCCAGGTCCAATTCCAAGTACCCAAATGGTAGCTCACAGCTGTCTATGACTCCCAATTCCAGGGGATCTGATGCCCTTTTCTGGCCTCTGCAGACCAGACATGTACATGATGCACAGACTTAGAAGCAGGCAAAACACTTACCCATGTTAAATAAAAGTTTACAAAAGGAAACTATAACTCAACTTTTTCTGAAGAAGCTCTTTGCTGGTCAGCAGGATGGTGGTCACAGCTGAGGTTCCCATTGTGCCATGAAATGACTAGAGTCTTGTCGATTTGGTTGACTTCTCATCTGTCTGCCTAATACTGTGCTTTTCTTTCCATAGCATTGTAGCTTTCAGAAAAGCCAACAAAGTAGGCATCTTCATCAAAGTCACCCCACAGCGTGAGGAAGGCGACGTGACCGTGTGCTTCAAGATGAAACATGATTTCAAAAACCTCGCTGCCCCCATCCGCCCTGCGGAAGAAAGTGACCAGGGCACAGAGGTCATCTGGCTCACTCAGCATGTGGAACTGAGCTTTGGCCCTCTTCTTCCTTAAAGTCACCTGGTGGGCAGATGGCACCACAGCTGTGTCGCCTGCCACAGCTCCGTAACAGTATGGAAGCTGCTGCTTCATTAGACGTGTTTATAAAGATGTACCCATCACTACTGAACCCTGTTGTAAGAGTGGAGGCCAGGCCAGCACTAGGAGCGAGCGCAGGGTAACTACTGTTCACTTGCTCTCTGTTGACACCAGTAAGTCTGTGTCTGCCTCCCGGAGCCCTGCACGTTGACTAACAGCCTGACTCCATCCCAGTAAATGGGTGGCTGTTCCTCAGAGGGGCATTAGTTTTACCCCCTGAGAAAAGGGCCATGTACCTGTCACAGTTTGACCGAAAGAACCTAGAATGGTAATCCAGAGCAGACCTGCGGTTCATGCCCCAACACTGGTCTCCTGTTCAGGCTGCTGCCACATGTCATTAAGGATAACTAGTAATTACAATGTTTCGTTTGCCATAGCTCTCGCTTCACCATTGGTTTCCATTAGGCAGAGAAGTAGGATTGTTACAGTGTCTTTAACTGTGGGATGACAGGACAGGACAGGACTTGTTCGGGCACTACATTTATCTCTTGTAAAGGACTACAGAATGCCTACCAGTTGCTGTTCATTTCCTCAGTAATACATGGGACTTTAAGGATTCGAGTTGCAAACAATTACATGTCATGAAGTTCAATTTGTTTTAATACCATAGTATCCAAAGACTAATGCCGCCACAGGGAGACAGCCTTTATAGATCTCACTCTCTGCCCTTCTCTACTCTGGTTTTGTTTGTTTTTTATCTTTTTTTTTTCCATTTATTTTTTCACATAGGTTCCTTCCATGTATTTCTGGCCTGGAACTTATTATGTATACCAAGCTAGCCTTGAACTCACCTGCTAGGATTAAAAACGCCACCACGCCCAACTCTCTGCTCTGTTCTATAATTTAAGGAATTGTTCTAACATTGGGGGGGGGCTTAAAAGAAAGCTGAGACAGTTGAAGTGGACATACTCACTTCTGAGATTCAGAGAACATTTTTAAAATTTAGATTTTTAGCTTGATACAAACTAATGTTCTTTCTACTGAGTTGAAGGAGAAATTAACTATCAATCTCTTAAATCCAAAACTGGGTGTTAAGTAAAAGAACCTTTCCCTTCATGGGTATAAGACTTCTTTCTTGTGCTGTTATCACTTTGATTGGAAACCATAGCAGCTCAGCAAGTAACCAGAATGCTGGCCTAACTCCAGACTGCTGTTTTCCTCAAATATCAATGTTCAGTTGCAAACCTTAATTTCTGTAATGTTTTCTAAAACGTGTTGACAGAGTAGACTAGCTGCACTACTTTTCCTTAAAGTATTCCTAGCACATGGCCAACAGACCTTGGAAGAAAAAGTTCCTGTTTACAAACCCTGTTTTGCTTTGGTTTTCATTGTATGTCTTTAGACATTTTTATTTTGGTTTGGTTTGAAGGGATAAAGAATCTGGACTACAGATAGAAAATAGTCTTTGTTAGTTCCCCTTAAAAGAGGAAACTATTTAAAAAGCTATTGAAAGGCACTATGTTCTTTAAGATCAAGCCAATTTTATGAAACAATATTCTCACAGAGTAATATATTTATTACAGTATAAGAAAAAATACTGATCTCTAATATTATGGGAACAGTAACTAATGTTTAGCCTCATAGGAGCTGCAGCAGGGAATTGGATAATTACAAGTTTAAACTACAGAAAGAGTGATTTTCCATAACTTCACAAAGCCTCAAGTTAGAGTCTACTGTGAAACACTACTCAATGTCTGCTGGGGGTTAGGGGAGAGGGGATTGGGGGTCAAAGTGCAGATAGCTTCATAAGTCCACTTTGTGGAGACGGGAACAGTTGTCCTTCTGTATAATGTTATCCAGTGAAACTGATACTTAATTCCTAGAAAAATGTTGACATAATGGTTCTACTTTCACGTGATAAACACAAAAACACTTTCAAATATACAATTTCTGTATAAGAAGTCAAGTTAACTTACAAATAACTTAGCGCAAGTTGGTCTTGTGTTCTTAAAAAAGGTTCAACATTGCCCTTATTGTATTATTAGATCAGGTGTGGGAATTTTTATTACTATTCAGTGCACACCAGGACGCAAGAGTTGGGTGTCCTTAGCACTTGAAACTACAATTTGGAAACTTAAGGCTAAGTTGCTTTGGGTTTGTGAATTGACTTACACACCAAAAGTTTCTTTTGTTCTGAGTATATGTATAAGCATACTGCACTAAATGCCATTGCATCTTTGTAATAAGCATCCTTCTTGGTCCCTTTTGGGAAGGAGAGGCACTCCTTGACTTGTGAATAACAGGTTACTGTTTTGCCTTATTGCTTAATGTAGTGAAATAAAGCAGACAAAAGCTTGAGTGTGTCTTCTATTTGATTTCACAAATACTGGTTAGAAGCTGCACAGCTCAGGGCTTAAAGGTCAGTGGGTAGATGAGGCTTAGTGGTGGACGTGCTTCCATTTCTTTTTGGTTGGTTGGTTGGTTTTTGGTTTTTGCTATGTTTTTTTGAGACAGGGTTTCTCTGTGACTTTGGAGGCTGTCCTGGAACTCACTCTGTAGACCAGGCTGATCTTGAACTCACAGAGATCTGCCTACCTCTGCCTCCCAAGTTCTGGGATTAAAGGCTTGTGCCACCACCGTCCAGCCTTTTTGTTATTTTTATTTGCTGACCAGAGGACAGCAGATACTCCAAAGTTGGAGTTACAGATGGTTCTGAGCCCCCTGCTGGGAACTGAACTGTTCTCTGCAAATGCTCTCTGCTGCCCCTCCCTTCATTCTTTATGTATATTAACTTGGTAATTTACCAAACCCTGCCTTGTGGTGGCACACGCCTTTAATGCCAGCACTAGATAGGCAGATCTCTTGTGAGTTCAAGGCCAGCCTAGTCTAGTGAATTCTGCAGAGACCCTATCTCAAAAAAAGAAAAAAAAAAAAAGGTAAGGTAATTCCTGGAACATAAAGGTGGATGTACCAGCATTTATCTCCTGGCTCATTACTTGCAAAGATACCTTTAAAATATACAAAATGGGGGTTGCTGTTGAATCTCCTAGCTCAGCTTTCCCTGCTATGAGTAGCCAGCATGAAAGAACCTGATTATTCAAATCTGTTATCCATGCATTTCTCTGCTGAACCCAGAAAGGATCTCCGTTATTTAAAGCGTATGATATGAACAAACTCCTAGTGCTTGAGAGGGAGCTAACATGGAATCCTTCATGGAGACCTCTTTCTAGCCATCAGCATCCTCCTGCCCACTCCTGACTGGGCCTTTGCCCTACAAGTGTCCTGTTGGCCCCTCCAGGAACCCTTGTTGCCTGGGTTCTGACTTTGCTGGGCTTCTGCCCCAACAGCAGTTTGAAAAAACAAGGATCTGGAAGCTGAACTATAGTTAAAGAAGATCCAGGTAAAATCTCTCTTTTGTGTTTGTTCTTCCTTTTTGTTATTGTTTTATTGAGACAGTGTTTCTCAGTAGCTTTGGAGGCTGTCCTGGAACTCACTTTTGTAGACCAGGCTGGCCTCAAACTCTGCCTCCCAAGTGCTGGGATTAAAGGCATGTGCCACCACCACCTGGTCAGGTGATATCTTTTTGAACATAGGGAAAGTTAAATGAGATCCAGGTGGTATCTTGGTGTTGGGTTTATTTGGTTTGTTTCCAAATCACTGTTTATCACTGAAGGAGGCCAGGATAGGAAGGGAATCAAACAGCAGGAACCTGAAGACAGGAGCTGATGTAGAGGTTATGGAGGTGTGTGACTAACTGGCTTGCTCAGCCTGCTTTCGTACAGAACCCAGTGTTAAGGTGGAAGCTTTGTCCCAGCCCCTGGCATCCATATACCCAGAGTCTGGGATGTTATGGTGGAGGTTCCACCCAAGCCCCCTCCCCCATCTCCCTCCAAACCCTGCTGCATCTCAGAAAGCCTGCCAAATGGCGGCCCCTCCCCCAGAGACACTCAAGACCACTCCCACAGGGTATTTAAACTGCCCCCCTCCTCCAGAACAGACTCATGGTTTTTCCAGTCTCTTTCCCTTCTCCTCTCTGGGGGCTGGAAGGTCACCCAGGAGCATTGTATCCATTAAATACGGGCTTTTTCTAATTTGATGTGATTTGGACTGCTGTATCTGCAGAGAGGCTTATCCGGGTGTAGAAACTTTTCACCCAGAACCACCAACCAAGGGGTATTCCCATCCACAATGGGCTGGGCCCTCCCACATGAATCACTAATTAAGAAAATGCCCTACATGCACACCTTTAATCCCAGCACTCGGGAGGCAGAGGCAGGCGGATCTCTTTGAGTTCAAGGCCTGGCTGGACCGACAGCCTCCAAAACAATACAGAGAAACCCTGTCACGTAAAAACCAAAAAAAAAAAAAAAAAAAAAAAAAAAAAATGCCCTACAGCCCAATCTCGTGCAGGCATTTTCTCAATTGAAACTCCCTCCTCTCTAGCTTGTGTCAAATTGACATAAAACTAGCTAGCATACTGTTTTGAGAGTCTCACTTTGTAAAGCCTGGCCTCGAATTCAGAAATCAGCCTTATCTGCCTTCCAAGTGCTGGGATTAAAGGTGCCACTATGCCCAGCCATAAAGTTTCTTGTCATGATTTGGGGGCTGATGGTCCAAAAATCCTGCAAGAGTAGGCATCCTTAACTTCGTTGAATTAGTGTGTATGGGTGTTTTGCCTGTATGTGTATCTGTCCATGTGTGCAGGGCACATGGAGGCCAGAAGAGGGGGTCAGATCCCCTAGAACCGGAGTTGCCATGTGGGCTCTGAAAGCTCAACCAGTGCTCTTAACCATTGAGCTGTCTCCCTTTGGTCATTTTGTATTCTATCAGATGTTTTGCCAAATGCTTTGTGCTTTCTTCTGATGTCTGTACAATTTAGAATAGTCTTCCCTCTCTCTACATGTCAGGGTTACTTCTACTCCCATCTAAATGTAATTTTAGCTGGACAATGGTGATACACCTTTAATCCCAGCACTTGGGAGGCAGAGGTAGGTGGATCTCTAAGTTTGAGGCTAGTACAGTCTACAGAGCAAGTTCCAGGGCAGCCAGGTATACATACAGAGAAACCCTGTCTTGGAAAACCTAAATAAATAAAATGTAATTTTCTTCCTTACATTGTGAGGTTTTAAGTGCACATAGCTCTTTTAATGGGTAGTAACTCCCTGAGAATCAAATACAGGTTCATTGTGTTAGGTCTCAGACAGTACGTATGTCCAGAAATGATACTCTTGGCTTAACTCAAGCTGGACTATAGAGGGATTTGTGTCTATTAGATTAAAAAAAAAAAACAGCATTACTCAAGAACTTGTGGATTGCATTCCCTTCTACAAAAGGAATCATCTCCCTTGCCTATGGCAGACGGGATATATGGCTCTCCATTGACATATACCTGTGGTTACATATCAAATTCCTGTACTGACCTCCAAGCTCCCTCAGTTTCAGTCACACATACATGTTATGCATCTTAAAACCCCCACAGTAGCCTCCTGGCACCTCCCCAAGTTCTCCCCACTGCAACCTAACCCCTTATAACCAACAGGACTCTCCAACCATTTCTGCTATCTTCTTGGCTTCCTTAGATGACCATATCCAGCAAGTTTCTTTTTCTCTCAGTTCTGAACTTTTCCAGATGTCTATGGATGTTCTCACTCTCTCTTACCTAAAATAAAAACCTTCCCACATATAATGGAGTCACCATTTCAATGGTTTCTTTACTGTGCCCCTAGAATATACATGGTCATCTGTTTCTTCTACACTCCTTTCAAAGAGCAACCTAGAGCAAACTCCAACCCTCAAGCAATTGCATTTCAGCCATGCTTCATATATGATTTTTTTCTGGAAACATAAATGCTGTGAATTCAAGAATCTACCAGCCAGGACTGAAGAGATGACTCAGGAGTTAAGAATATGTCCAGTGCCGGGCGTTGGTGGCACATGACTTTAATCCCAGCACTCGGGAGGCAGAGGCAAGTGAATCTCTGTAAGTTCAAGGCCAGCATGGTCTATAGAGCGAGTTCCAAAACAATACAGAGAAACCCTGTCTCAAAAAACCAAAATAAATAAATAAATGTGTCCAGAAGACCTGTGTTGATTCCCAGAACTCATGTGGCAGTTCACAACTGTCAGGTCCAAATTCTGACTGTTAGACAAATATAGTTGGAAATTTCTTTGGGCCACCAACCAGCTCCCAAATAAAGACATGGAGACGTATAATTATGAATGCTCAGCCCTAGCTTAGGCCTGTCCCATTAGCTCTTACAACTTAATCTAACCTGTTTCTCTTCATCTGTTTCTGCCTCAGGGCTCTTTCCCTTCCTTTCAGTCTGTGTGTCTTCTCTGCTTCCTCCATGTCTGGCTAACCCCTGGTGTCTCTTTTTCTTTCTTTCTCCAAGCCTAAATTCCTCCTCCTACTTACTCTCCCTGCCTGGAAGTCCCGCCTATACCTCCTCCCTCTCTATTGACCATTCAGCTTCTTCTTAATACCAATCAGCTGCCTTATAGCTTAAACCTAAAGAACAATGATTAAGGATAAGAAAGCCATGATACACTAGAGGGAATCATCAAAACTACCCAACCCAGACCCAGCTCTGTTGACTAGATCCTTCAAACTCCACACAGCGGAGCTCAACAGGACATAATCCACCTTCAATCCAGGAGCATCTGTATAGGGAGAGAACATAAATCAGTCATTACTATAGGCTGAATATGGAACTGAGTTGACTGCCTACAAGCACATCAAAACTTTAGGATGAGCCGGGGAGTGGCAGCACAAGCCTTTAATCCCAGCACTCAGGAGGCAGAGGCAGGGAGTTCAAGGCCTGGTCTACAGAGCAAGTTCCAGGACAGGCTCCAAACCTACACAGAGAAACCCTGTCTTGGAAAATGGTGGAGGGAGGACACAAGACTTTGGGATGATGAAAATGTGAATGTATGTAAAAAAGAAATCATAACTGATTAGAAAAAAATATTAAAGCTGGGCAGTAGTGGCACACGCCTTTAATCCCAGCACTCGGGAGGCATTGGCAGGCGGATCTCTCTGAGTTCGAGACCAGCCTAGTCTACAAGAGCTAGTTCCAGGACAGGCTGCAAAGCCACAGAGAAACCCTCCCTTGAACCTCCCCCCAATAAATAAATAAATAAAAACTCGAAAGCTCTGACTTGTAAGACCCTTTTCATGTCAGAAGTTAGAAAAACGGGGGCTGGAGAGATGGCTCAAGAGCCCTGGCTGCTCTTCCAGAAGTCCTGAGTTCAATTCCCAGCAATCACATGGTGACTCACAACCATCTATAGTGAGGTCTGGTGATCTTGTGCACTCTTCTGGCATGCAGGCAGCACACTGTACACTTAAGAAATACCTT